AAGATTTCATTTTACTTTGATCTACAATCAACACTTATGGAAGCAACAATCAAGAAATGAAATGATGCAATGCATTGGGTAAATCGGCAGCAGAAGACTTATTTAAAGGGCTACAGAACAAAGATGTCAATTTCAGAACAAAGGTGCACCTGACCCCAGCCCTGATATTTTCGATCGACACCTATGCAAGTGAAAACTGGACAATGAATCAGAAAAACAGAGAAATTTAATACATCTGAATGATGTCGTTGGCAAAGAATATTTTTATTATCATGGGTGGCCAGAAAAATAAACAAAATCTGTCTTGGAAGAAATACAGCCAGAATGCTCCTTAGAAGCAAGAATGGTGAGACTTTGACTCAAGTACTTGGGATATGCTACCAGGAGCGATCAGGCCTTAGAAAAAAGACAGCATACTTGATAAAGCCGAGGGTTAGCAAAAAGAAGAAGAGTCTCGATGAGGTGGACTGGCACAACGGCTACAAAAATGGGTGGAAACATAAAAACCATTGTGAAAATGGCGTAAGACCTGACGCTGTTTCTTTCTGTTGAACACAGGTCTTTATAAGTTGGAGCCAATGTGATGGGGCCAACAGCAGCATTCATGGATTTATAAAACATCGTATCGTGGCACATCATCAGTGTCTCAATACTAGTGGAGCCAACCAAAAGGGCAAAGGAATAAAAATAGAAAGAGAGATTCTCATTTCCAATTTGATTTACGTGAAAAAGTACCATGACAGAGCAGTAATAAAATCATTCTAGAGAGCAGTACAAAGGAATTATGATCGTATTCGTGCTTACTCAGTATTGCTCAGATCGAGTGTCACCCAGAAAGAGAAATGCTTAAAATAATGGCACATGCTGAGAGAAAAAGACAGGAACATTTGGAAACAGTGGTACCTGCAGAACAATAGAAAGAAATAAGTTACTAAAGTAGAAAAGGAAGACTTTAGAGGGGATAGAGATTGGTGTTTAAAAACTACCTCCAAACACTTTCAAGGATTGACAGTCAACTTTTATTTTTGTCCATTGATTCCAGAAGGAAGGATAAATATAATTGAACAAAATTATAGATAGACAAATTCTGGCATAAATAAAGTATTTTCAAGTAATTATATTTTGCTTGCTTTATGAAATAGTTAAAGATTCCTAGTAGCGCAGTGGGTGAAACATTGAGCCGCTAACCACAGGCTTAGTGGTCCCTTCCACTAACCACTCTATGGGGGAAAGATCAGTCTACCTTCTCTATAAAATTTTACAATCTTGAAATCACAATTGACTAAATGGGCATGGGTTTTGGTTTTATGAAACATTCTAGCAGAACTAAGTGGCCACTTACAAAAATCCATGAATGGGTGGATCCGGGATCCAGAAATTCCAAACATTGTCCAAAACTCTGAGATACTATGAGTGGGCAGGGCTGAGACTGGGAAATGTAACTCTCAGAAAGAAAAGGGAAAGAGGAAGAGAGGAGAAACGGGGAACAAAAGGGAAGCAATTCGGACATGAAGATCCTGTCTCTGGCAGAAACAAACCAACGGACCAGGGGACACCCCGGACACTGGAGGAAAGGACCCCAGGGCGGAAGACTGATGCACCAAAGTAGGTTTAAAACCCAGGACATTTCTCACTACAAAGAAGTTTCCTAAAGGACGGCCAGACTCGGGTAGATCACCAGCCCCCAAAGTGATAGATCATTCCAACTGAGCAATGACTGACTGCCAGTCATTTCTGCTCTGATGCTATGTATTAAATGACACAAAATCTTGGAATAGATGCATGGTGAGATTGGACAGGCTTGTTCAAGTTGATCAAATAATAACTCCACTTTTTTTTTTGGCTCAAAACATTTAGCTATTTGTGCTCCACTCCTTCAGAAAATACTTTGCGTTCATAGTAAGAGTCTTCAGAACCATGTAATTTGAGTAGCATGCCCTTTGCAGAAACATTCTGCAAATTCTACTATTTCCAAATAAAGCAGTGTGCAGTTTTTCAGGATCACAGAGTTTTACTATCTGAGTTTATTTTCAGTGACATGTTTAATCCAAGACTTTTCAATGGCCAGCCTAACCTTTAAAAAGAGGGCAAAACAATCTGGTTAAAAGATGTAATTATGTCAGTGTACATATGACTGATACTAAGTGACAAGTAGACCTTTGTATTGATTCACTATTATTAAGGAAAGTAAGTCATTTGGGCCTGTTTATTAAATTATTGTTCTTTCCCAAAATGAGTAGCGACACAAATCGTTACAGGAAACTGAAAAGCCTGTTGCCTCTCTTGAGGTCGGCAGCATGAGAACGCTCTGGATGTCCTAGCGGCTTTCTTTCTCAATCTTGATCGCACTCTTTTTCAAGAAAATGCTAAAATTACTTCTCAAATCAGACATGTACTCATCTACCGGTTGTTTAACTCAGTGAGAATGACCTCATGCAGACGCTGAAGAATGCTAACAGTCCTGTTTATATGTTGCTAACAGATTAACTTCTTTATTATCTACCTTTAGATCCAGTCCTTTGGCTGTTCTAAACAAGGAACCAAGACGTTAACAAGCAGTTGGCAGGCAGCAGGGTCTATGTATGCTCCATTGGTCCAGGAAGAGCGAATGCAGACTCCCAGAGTGTCAAATTTATGGTATGCCTTAGGCTTTTTGTGTTGGCGCTGAACAGAAATAGATAAACATTCTTTTAGTGGGCTCTTCGGCAAAAAAAATCTTCCCTGGTATTTATTGATAGGAAAATAGAATCTAAAAATTCTTCTGGCCAACCCCTTGGCAACCTCCCGGTCCTCCATCTGCTCTGCGTAGCTTTGTTCTCTTTGCTCTTGGCTTGCAAATGGCTCACAGGAGCATTACAGGTAACTTAGCGGGTCACCTACCTGGCAGACTCCAAGAGACCCCAAAAGTCAAAAGTCACCTGAGCCACCGAATTGAATATGACTCACAGGGACCCTCTCGGTCGAATAGGGCTGCCCCTTTCCGTTTCCAAGACTGTAAATCTTCTCGCGAACACAAAGCTGTCATCTTTGAAGCAGGTGGGTTCAAACTGCTGACCCTGAAGTGAGTGGCTCAATATGTAACCCCCCATGCTACCGGGATTCTTTCCCAACACTCAGGTGGGATGAGTTTTATAATCTTGTCCAGTTCTTCTAGTGGAAATATGCAAGTGGGAAACAACTTGTCAACATTTTCCCCGACTTTTTTCACTTGGCTAATCATGGAGTAGTGGTTACAAGTTGGGTTGCTAACACAAAGACCACAGCTCGAAACCACCAGCAGCTCCACAGAGAAAAGTCGAGGCTGACTGTGCTTGTAAAGGGCTACCATCTCATAAATCCACAGGAGCAGTTCTACCCTGTTCTTTAGGATCAGAATGAGTTGGCATCGACTCAATAGCAGTGAATCGGGTTTGGAATGTAGTGATGTTCATCTCTTATTTGTTTGCTTGCTTTTTAATCAAGATTAACTCTAAATCAAAGTAGAATCA